AAGCAGTGGTATCAACGCAGAGTACTCTTCCGGTTCGTCACGTCGGAGTTTCAGTGGGGCGCGTGATGAAGAAAAGCTACGTCCAACTAGATTTGTTTCACGATCCTAAACAACTGGAAAAAGAAAATAAACTTAATCAGGTTATGGATAAAATTCGCAAACGCCATGGTAAAACTGCTTTGTATTTTGGCAATAGCCTTGAAAAAGGTGGAACCTATGTTGAACGCCAATCATTAGTAGGGGGACATAATGGGGGGAATACGCTTGAATGATGAAAAATATGACAAATTGGTAAACAAGATGCTAGAAAACTTGCAACCTTATTTTAAATTACAGAAAATCAATACAATTTACTCTATTCATGTTGTTGATAATCCATATCAAAAAAAGTATAACTTCTTTTTTGTAATCGCGAAAAAAAAGCAACGCACTCGCTCAATACCAATTGGAATTTTGCATGATTATCGAATGGAGGCGCTAGAAGAACTGTGTCACCAACTGAAGCAAAAAGTGGATTTTACCTTGCGTTTTGAAAATTTTGAGGCGCAAACTTGGGATGATGGAAGGAAAGTTTATGATATATGAAAATTGAAAAACTAAGCGATGAAAAATTAGCGCAAAGTTTCTTTAATCATGATTATCATGATCGTGGTATTATGAAATGGAATGGATTTATGATTTCAGATCATTCCACCAAGCTTAAAGAAACTAATAAAGCAGCGCAACAAAGTACTTTGCCAAGCAATGTCGAGGATTTAGCGAAGTAAAAGTTCGCTGTGTAAAAATAGTCTACTTTTCGTTGTGTAAGAATGGTCTTGGTTTCGTTGTGTAAAGATAGTCTAAAATAATGGGGATGAATTATGTTAGAAGAGAAATTAATTGCATATGGGTTCAAAAAAAATAGGGATAATCAATTAAGCTACCAACAAAATGTTATTCCCAAACAAATTGACCTCAAAATTACGGTGGTTAATCAAAAGTTGCAAACTCAATTATGGAACATATATTTTGATGAGGAATATGTTATATCGTCACAAGCAACGGGAAGTTTTGTGGCGGAAGTTAAAGAAAAAGTGGATGCAATCTTAGAAGATATTCACGCTAAATGTTATGAACGTCCTCAAGTTGAACGCCTTCAAGCATTAATAGAAGAAAAATACGGACTCAAACCCAAACATCCCTTTAAAACTTACCATGAGATAACTACTTACAATGGATATAAAGACAAAATTTTTGCGATGTTTTGGCCGCTAGAAAAAGGTAAAATAACCAAAAAGAATGATTCGAAAATCGTCAATATGTTAAATGTTAAGGCTGATCCAGATGAAGTTTTACGCTTACAAACAAAACCAGGATTTTATCCAGCCTATCACATGAATAAAAAACATTGGGTGACAATTCTTTTGGATGAATCGCAAACAGATGAAGTTATTTTTACGTTGATTAAGCAAAGTTTTGAATTAATTAAAAAGTGAGTCAGCGCCTATAAATCGGCTTTTTTGATGGGGGATTTATAGTATTATATTAAGGGAAATTATAGAAAGTTTAAAAAGGAGAAAATACTCAATAGTTAGAGAGTATTTTCTCCTTTTTCATTTTCTACCCAAAATCTTACCCCAAAAACTAAAAAGAAACGAATTTTGATAATTTTTCTGTGATTGATTTTTCTTGTTTAAGTATCTTGTTTCGTAAATCGAACAACTATCAGCAATACGATTAGACAAAATACATGTTAGAACGAAAGACTTTTTTAGCAGGTTCCTATGAGGGAACCCATTTCATACTTTCATTTAAGGTTGATTGATACCTTGTCAATTACCCCAGTCTAAAGACGTGGGGCTTGTAACTCACAACCTTTCGGTTAGTGGTAATAACGCAACTTCGTTGCTCCCCACACTATACGTGGTTACATCATTGGGTGGTTGACAACACCCACTTAACTAACACGTTTACGCATTAGTTATTAATTCAAATTTGGGTTGTTCTTGTCCACTAATATACTGAGTTCCAAGTAATTGGATATTCATAGCCCCAATACGATCATCATTAGAACGATAACCACAATTATCACAATGATATTCGTGTAATTCGTGGTTACGATTATCTTTTTTGATAACCCCACACTTAGGACAACGTTGCGATGTATATTGAGCAGAAACTTCAATCACTTGACTTTGATTTAAATAAGCTTTATAAGTTAAAAATTGTTCTAATTGATAGAAAGCCCATGATTTATTTTGATTACGCAAAGATTTAGGTAAATCATTACGTTCAAAAGAAACACCGTTAAGGTTTTCTAATACAAACAAAGTATTAGTACCGTATTTTTGGACAAGTGTCTTAGATAAGCAATGATTAACATCATTCATCCAACGGTTCTCTCGTCCAGATAGTTTCTTTAAACGTCTTTTAGCCGATTTAGTACCTTTAGCTTGTAAAGTGGCACGAAGTTTTTGATATTTAGCACGTTTACGTATAATTGCTTAGACCGTTAAAAAAGGCAGTCTTACCTTGTTCATCATAGCTGGTAGCTAAAAAGCGTAAACCACGGTCAATTCCGACAACGTGTTTTACTGTTTGTTTATCAAAATCAGTGACTTCTTTAGTGGCTGAAATATGTAAAAACCACTTACCACTAGATTTGAGTAACTTAGCTAAGCCAAATTTCCAAGTACCGTCAAAATATTGGTCAAATCCATGGCAAACAGGCTCAACTTTAACACGACCATCAAGGGTGTTGATTGATAATTGACCATTGCTTAAATAAGACCAATCACGATTACGTTGAAGGTCTACTTGTGGACGGTTGAAAGAAATTGGTTTGTGTAACCATGTTAAATCACGTACTTCACGATACCACTCGCCAGTATTTTTATCTTGGTATTTATATGGTCTACGAGCCATTTGAGTTTTTTACGGCCTTATAACGTGCAATAACAGTTCTAATTACAGATTGTGCCATCTGCGATTTAAGAGTAAAAAGATTACGTAACTTAGTATATAGCTCTTTGTTTAGCCTGCTTTGTTTCATATCGAAATCATGATAAAAGATGTATTCAGATACATAGTTACACGCTTGACGATATTGTTCCATTGTTTTAACAAAACTTAAAGCCATAGTAGAGTTAGAAATCTTTAATTTAGTCTTTATTGTAACTTGCATTTCCATTAGGTTCACCTCGCTTTCTTCACTAATTATTATAACATATACAGTTAGTGAAATATATTAAAAAGGAGGAAAAGGGTGAAAAAAGCAAGATCGTTAGAGCTTGCAAGTGAGGGCTATCCCTCCAGTAGTTAAAACCACTGGTATCCCGCCCTAAAATCAATGAATACTAAAGAAAGGAGAAAAGGTTCTTGAAAAGGACAGAAAAAAGAACCAAGATGAAACAACAAGAAAACAAAATAAGATAATCTACCGACTAACAATTATAGGATTTATCTTAGAAGTTCTTGATAAAATTCATTCTTGGTTCTTCTAACTAAACTAAGGGGCTTTTGCCCCTAGGTTTAGTATATATTAAAAAGAACCGTATAAGCAAATTAAAAAGAGAACACAAAACAATATAATAATAGCTTTACTAATATTATGGATATTAATAAATTTGATTGATATTATAATTTTTTAGAAAGAGAGATGATTAAAAATGGCTACAAAATTAAAAGTTTTGATGGCCTACCACACGAAAGTACTTTAGCAATTAGTACAATAGGAGTTAAACAAAATCAAAGTAAATATAAAGTGTGGCAATCTGGAGTAAATGAGATGATAAAGCGTTGCAGACCAAAAAAGCTAATGATTTACGGTGGCAAAGTAGATTATCAATTTCCTAAAAACATAATTACTAAATATTATGAAAATAAAAATATTAGTAGATTAAAGAGGTTAGGTAATGGGCGGTAGAGGTGCAACATCCGGTATAAGTGATAAAGGAAGAAAGTATGGAACTGAATATCATCCAGTATTAAAAAAGGATAACATAAAATTTGTTAAGTATAACTATTCAAGTAGTGCTAAAACACCTATGGAAACGATGACTAAAAAACGTATTTACGCAACTATTAATAATAAAAATGAGATTAGAGCAATTACTTTATATGGAAAAAACGGGAAACGAGTTGCTCAAATAGATATTACAGGCAGAACGCATAAAATTAATGGTAAAGCTACTTTACCACATACACATATTGGATATTTTCATGATGAACATGGTACACGAAAAATAAATGATTATGAAAAAGGTTTAATTGCTAAAGTAAAAAGAATATGGGATAATAGGGGCAAATAAGCCAGTCGACTAACAGTGAGGTCACGGTATTATACCTTTGAAAAGTGAACCTAGAGGGAGTGAAAGCTGAAATCTAGGCACGTATAATATTCGAGGTGTCGGTTGAATTCCGACCGCTTATTTATAAAGCATCCAAAAAATTGGGTGCTTTTTTTTGAGCTTAAAAATTGAATGGAGGTGGGTGATATGAAGTGAAGAAAAGTAGTAAGAAATTGGACAAAATTGGACAAATAGGACCCTTTTTTGAATTAGATAAAAGGCGCCAAAAAGCTGTTATATTACTATTTGAAGATGAATTAACAGATGAAGAAATTGCAAAAAATGTCCAACGTAGAAGATCAACATTAGATAATTGGAAAAATGATGATAAATTCAAAGCGGCACAAGAGCAATATAAGAAATTAGTCGTCAAGAAAGATTTTGAAAGTAAAGCATTGAGAAAGCTGATTAAGCTAATTGATGCCAAGTCAGAAATGGTGCAACTACAAGCTGTTACAACAATTCTCAAGATGTCAGGGATGTTATCTGAAGATAGTACTCCTGAGTTAGACCAAGCTAAGTTACGTAAAGCTAATTCAGAAGCAGATATTGCTAAATCTAAAGCAATCTTAGCGCAATACGAAGTCCAAATCAGACAAGAAGAATTTGCTGATAACGATGAAGAAGAAAGAACAGACGACTTAATGGGAGCTGTAAAACAAAGCATGGAGGGAATTTTTGATGGCGAAATCGAAACTTAATTTAAAATTCTCATTCAAACCATTCTCTAAGAAGCAACTTCAAGTATTGTTTTGGTGGCAGTATCCGGAATACCAAGATAAGTTTGCAATCATTGCTGACGGTTCTGTTCGTGCTGGTAAAACAGTTGTGATGTCGACAAGTTACATTCGTTGGGCTATGGAGTCATTTAATGGTCGTAACTTTGGTATGGCAGGTAAAACAATCGGCTCTTTAAGACGAAATGTTATTCGTGATCTAAAACGAATTTTAATCTCTGAACATTATCGAGTGCATGATAATCAATCGGAAAACATGATTACTGTATCTAAGAATGGACGGACTAATTACTTTTTCTTGTTTGGTGGAACGAATGAAGCGAGTCAAGACCTTGTTCAAGGGATAACTTTGGCTGGCTTCTTTTTTGATGAAGTCGCTCTTATGCCAGAGTCATTTGTATCTCAAGCAACTTCTCGTTTATCAGTTGAACATTCTAAAGCATGGTTTAACTGCAACCCTGAATCACCTTATCACTGGTTTAAGCTTAATTGGATAGATAAGTTAAGTGATAAGAAAGCAATTCGAGTTCACTTTCTGATGAAGGATAACCCTTCATTATCAAAAGAAACGATTGACCGATACGAGAATATGTATTCAGGGGTTTTCTATCGACGATATATTTTAGGCGAATGGTCGGTTGCTGACGGTGTTGTTTACGATAATTTCGATAGAGAAACAATGGTAGTTGATGTTCCTGATGATGTAGTTTGGGAGCAACAATGGATAAGCATTGACTACGGGACATTAAATCCGACTGTATTTAAGCTTTGGAGCTTGTATAAAGGTGTTTGGTATAACAGAGCCGAATACTATTACAGCGGACGTGAAACAAGTAAACAAAAGACTGATGAGCAATATATTGATGATTTAGAAGATTTCTTTTATGAGAATGAATTAAATCGTGAGTCAGTTAAGTTAATTGTTGACCCGTCGGCCGCTTCTTTCAAAAAGTCATTACGTAATCGTGGTTTTACAGTTGTGAATGCTAATAACAACGTATTAGACGGTATTCGATTTATGATGACTCAAATGAACGCTGGCAAGATGAAGTGGACTGAAAACAGTAAGAAACACAATTCAAGAATTCAATTCGTATGCCTGGGATGCAAAAGCTGCTAGTCATGGAGAAGATAAAGTAATTAAAGAACATGATCATGCACTTGATGCCGATAGGTATTTTGCAATGAAAGTCTTATACCGAAAGAAAAAGAAGAACGTCAGATTATTTAAGGAGGGGATTTAGTGGAAACATATTTAAATGATAATTGCTATGTTGATGATGACAATGTTTTTTACTTCAACGGCGATAAAATAACGCGAGAAGATATTGATGTTTTCATCCTTAAACATTCATCAATTGTTCGTGATTATGAAAAGTATCGCAATTACTACAAATCAAAACATACTGAAATCTTAAACGCTAAACCTAAGCCTGATTACAAGCCGGACAATCGTTTAGTAATCAATCATGCTAAGAAGATTGTAGATACTTATTCCGGTTTTGCAGTTGGAAAACCAATTCAAATTAGCTTAACAGAAGACTTAGCGAACACATCACTAGCTGAATTTAATCGTTCACGAAATATGGATACGGTGATTTCTCGTGTCTGGAAAGAAAGCTCTATCTTTGGTAGGGCTTATTTTTATGTCTACGGGGACAATGGAGAGATTAGAGTAACTAATACATCTCCGCTAAATACGTTTGTTATCTATGATGATACGGTAGCTCATAAGCCATTGTATGCTGTTCGTTACTCTACTGTTGGTATGGGCTTGCAAAAACGAATTACATTGTATAGTGACAAGTTTATCTATGAGATTTCAGAAAAAAATGCTGGAATGGGTCAAAAGAAAGCTAATCCGTTTGACTTAATTCCAATCGTTGAAGTAGTAGAAAATGATGAACGATTAGGGTTGATTGAAAATGTAATTACTTTAATTGATGAAGTAGATAAAGCAATTAGTGAGAAATCAAATGATGTTGCTTACTTTGCTGATGCCTATTTAAAAGTATTAGGAGCATTATTAACGGATGAACAGTTAAAAAATCTACGAGACAAACGAGTAATTAACATGAAGTCTGCTGAAACAGAAGACGATACTCCTGAAAAGTTGGAAGTTGATTTCTTGAGCAAGCCTAATGCTGACGGAACGCAAGAAAACTTATTAAATCGTGTGATTGATAACATTTATCAAATGTCGATGATTGTTAATTTAAATGACAAGGACTTTGGTAATTCAACCGGAGTTGCCTTAGAAATGAAGTACAAACCAATGCTTAGCTTAGCAACCTTAAAATCACGGTTATTTTCAGAGTCATTAAAGCGAATGTATCAAGTTGTTTTTGCTTCAAATCTGATTAAAAACGTTGGCGAAGAAGCATGGAAAGACTTAGATATTTCATTCCAATACGACTTACCGCACGACGTGCTATCAGAAGTACAGACTGCTCAAGCATTAGCTAGTTTGGGAGTATCAACGGAAACATGGTTGAAAGTTATTTCGGTTGTTAATGATCCTAAGCAAGAAGAAGATAAGATGTTGAACGAACAAAAGCAGCAATTTAAAAATAACTTAGAAATGATTGCTAGTGGCAACATTAAACCGGACGGTGAAGTAAATGACAACGGTCCAAGACGAGAAGAATAGAATTGATTACCTTTTACAAAGGGATAAAATCACAGATAAAGAAATTCAAAAAGCGTATGATGACGGCTTATATAAATTAAAAGCAGTTATCAATAGCGCTTTTTCTTTATATTCAACTGACGGAGTGCTTGTTCCAACTAATCTAAACCGTAAAGTTACTAAGAAAGATATGTTGTTGTTAAAAGAACAATTTGATAAGTTACCAAGCGATTTAGAGTTACCAGAACAAAGTCGGGTAGATTATTATCTTGCAATGAGTCAGACTTCTGTTTCTAAGCTAATCTCAGCAACGCTAGGAATAGCCTTAATTGGAATTACAATGAAGTTAGGTCAAATCCTAAGGAAGAACAATAAAACGGCTGTACTTGAAGAATATCGCTATCAGACGGAACGATTAGATTTAACTCCAAAGCAAGCAAAGAAAGTAAGGGACAAGAAAAAAGAAATCGCTAAAGATGATTATGTATTTAGTGATGAAAAAGCAAAAGAATATGTTCCTTGGCTTGATAGATTATGGTTAAATCATGATCAAACGTTAAACCGTATTGATAATAGTATTAATGAAATGCTGAAACAAGGTATGAGAGCCCAAGATATAGCTGAAAAAATGTTCCCTGAAAACGCAGAAATCATGCGGAAGGATAATATACCTAAAGCCATTAGAGAAGCTTCAAACAACGTTAAAAGGCTCGCTAGAACAGAAGCTGCAAGACGAGAAGATGAAATGGCAGAAGCAACATTCCAAGCTTCGGGAGTAAAACAAATAAAGTTTGTTAACGAACCTGGAGCATGTAAAAAGTGCATCCCACTTCAAGGGGGTTATCCACTAGATGAGTCTCCAAGAATTCCCAAGGACACACACCCTAATTGTCGTTGTCGGAGAATTCCGGTTAAACTTGAGGAAGTTGATGATGATAAAAGACGTAAACAAGCCTTGATTGCTGGAGTAGTATCAGCTAGCAATCGCAAAAAGGAAATTAAAAAGAATGAAGAAGCTACTAACGTACTTGAAGAAAACTTTAGTAGTGGGAAATGGAAAGATGAAATAAATCCTGAAAAACAAGCACGACATTTATCTGAAAATGGCGAACGAACTCCACAAGATGGAAAAAGTAGGTCCTTATTTGATAGTGACATTAATGTCGAAGAGCTTTATAATGAATATAAAGGAACCGGGGTTATTGATAAAGATAAAAAAGGTAATGTAACCAATAAGGAATTAATTGAGCTTAATGAAGTAATTGGCATCGATAATAAAGGGAATGAACTAAAAGGAATAAAAATACATTATAGTAAAACAGGAGTTCATTTAGTACCATGGAGGGGCAGAAAATGAAATTAGAAAAATTTTTAGAAAATCAGATAATTAAGATTTTTTTTGAAGATGGAGATGTTTTGATAGGAAAGCCTCTAGGATATACTCCAGAATGCGATGATGATGATGGAGCTAATCTTGTGTTGATTCCTACTGAAGGTTTTCTAAAGGGAGATAGAGTCGAATGTTTTGAGCATGAAGTTGTGAATGTTGAAGTGATTGAATAACTATGGCAAGTTATGAAGTAGTAGCCACTAAGATACTTAAATACCTAAATGATTGTTTCGAAAATGGTACAGAGCCTAGAATTCATTCACTCAATGCTAAAACGTTAAAGATTCCTGATAAACAATTCTGGGATATTCTTAAAATGCTTGATGAAGATAACTTTATAGCTGGTATTGAATTCTTTGATACAGTTCCACCAGATTACAGTTCAGTAAATGATCCAAGTAATTGGCGGATAACTCGATTAGGAATTGAGTATTTTAAAGAAAACAGTTTAATCACAAAAACATATAAACAACTAAAGGAAATCAAAGATTGGTTACCTTTAACTTAGCACTTACAGTTGTAGGTGCTTTTTGTTTGGGAGGAATTACTATGTCCAAAAAATTAGAACAAGAAAAAGAAAAACTAGCAGAACTTGGTGCTAGTTTAACAATTTGGTTATTAATTCTAGTAGGATTACTTATATTTACAAGTGGGGTTGTATGGTCTTTGTTTAAATTTATCATGACAATCATGCTAATTTATGGTGTTCGTGATTTTTATATCGACTACACATTACTTGTGATGAGTAAGCCAAAAATCAATAAGCTCAATAAATAACTTTTTCAAAGGTGGCAAAAAGAGACTTAGAGTCCACCAAATAAATTGAATGAACTTACTTTGAACACTCTTTTCGTCCATCCCTAAATAATTCAGAAATCTTAGTGGAAGTGAAATAATGAACTTTATAGTATAACCAAATGATTTAGTTTGATTATATTGTCTGGTAAAGTAGTCTTCCAAATTATCTAGAATTGCTATTTCGGTCTCTAAAATAGCTTGATTTTGACTAGGGAAGCTTCTAATTATGTCAATGTTTCCAAGCTTTACTTGACCAAAAATAAGGGCTTCTGGAACAGTTTTAGTAAGAGATGAGTCACCATATCGTTCTTTGTATAACTCTTCAAACGTTGCATTATTTGGTCGTGGGTTTAATTTGGAATTTTGAATCCATAAATTAAACTGCTGATTCAATTCTTTAGCCTCAAGATATTTACGTTTCTTATCGCTATAGTTAACGTAACAAGAGAGTAAAATGACTAAAATTAAAACAGTATAGAAATATAACATATTAAATTCTCCAATCAATTTTTATTTACATTATACCAAGCGTTAATCAAAACGATTAGCGCTTTTTTTATGTCCAAAACATGCTGATGACTCTAAAAGCTGCAAGGAATTAATCAGTCATACAAGACTTAAAAAAGGAGGTATCCGTCATGGATCAAGAAAATCAAACTGTCGAAACAAACGAACAAGATGTTGTTGAAACTCAAGTGCAAGAACAAGAACAACCACGTACTTTTACTCAAGAAGAAGTAGATGAGATTGTCAGCTTACGCTTGGAACGTCAAAAACAATCATTAAGAAAAGACTTACGGGCCGAATTACAAAGCGAATTTAAGCAAGAACAATCAGAAGCTCGTAAGTTAAACCGAATGAATGAAGAACAACGTCGAGAATACGAGTACAAGAAAAAAGATGAGGAACTACAAGCCCTAAGAGCTCAGGTTAACCGAAACGAAATGGAACACACTGCAACAAACATTCTTAACTTAAAAGGTATTGCGGTTAACACTGATATCTTAGATTTTGTGGTTGCTGATACTGCTGAACAAACACAAGCAAACATTGATAAGTTTGTTGATTTAGTAGATACAACGGCTCGTGCAAATCGCAGAAAAGAATTTACTGACCCAGTACCTAAAGACGGAAACAAAGCTGGTAAAGAGATTGGTGTTGATGAATTCAATAAGATGTCTTACCAACAACGTGTAGAGCTCAAGGAACAACAACCAGAGCTTTATACAAACTTAATTCAAAAAATTATTCAATAAGGAGGCCAAATAATGGCAAATAGAATTACAACAAGTGACCAAATGCTAGACCCTCAAGTTTTAGCAGATATGGTTTCAGCAAGTTTAACAGCAGGGCTTAAATTCACACCTTTTGTTGATGTTGACACAACCCTTGAAGGTAAGCCAGGGACAACTGTTGAATTTCCAACATGGAATTACATTGGAGATGCAGTTGACTTAGAAGAAGGAGTAGCAATGGAAAGCAAGGACCTTACATACGGTTCAAAAGCAGCTACTATTAAAGAATTTGGTACTTCAGTAGCAATCACTGATCAAGCTCGTTTCTCAGGTTATGGTGACCCAATGAAAGAAGCAGCAAATCAAATTTCGCTTTCAATGAACAACAAGTTAGATAATGATGTTTTAGAAACATTACGTCAAGCTGAACAAAAGAAAACAATTGATTTATCTCTTGAAGGCTTACAAGAAGCATTAGACATTTACAACGATGAAAATGATGTGGCTGTTGCTTTAGTTGTTTCTCCAGTCTTAGCTGGTAAAATTCGCTTAATGGCAGGTAAAGAATGGTTACGTGGCTCAGACTTAGGCGCTCAAACAATTACATCTGGAGTTTATGGTGAAGTGTTAGGTGTTCAAATCATTCGTTCAAAGAAATTAAATGCCAATGAAGGTATTTTGATTAAGCCGGGTAAAGAAGATGGCAAACCAGCCGTTAAATTGATGGTAAAACGTGGTATCAACATGGAAACTGAACGTAAAGCTAGTGAACGTACAACTGTCCTTTACGCAAACTCATTTGAAGCTCCATACTTATACAACCCAGCTAAAGTTGTAAACTTAACATTCAATGGCGTGACTGGTCCTAAAGGGACAACTGGAGCTCCAGAAGATGTAGCTGTTGATAACACAGTAACTAATGTTCCTGAAGACAAGCGTATTGGTAAAGGCAAAAAGAAAGCTACTGCAAGCAAGGCTAGCGAAAAGCCTGGTGAAGCTTAATGTATAGAGTTTTAAAATCCTTTACTGATAGTAACCTTAATTCCGTTGATGAAACCGGCGAAAAGCATATTTATTGGCAAGGGTCAATTTATCCTTACAAGAAATACGCCGGAGCTGAAACTAAGCTTAGAATTAAGGAGCTTACTGAAGGTGGATATATCCAAAGAGAGGGGGATAAATAAATGGCAAAAAATGATAAATCAGAAGAAACAAGTGTTAGTTTGACTAAGAGTCAAAGTATTAGTGCTTCTAAGAGTGAGAGCTTATCAGAAAGCAAATCAGCTTCATTGAGTACTAGTGAAAGTTTATCTACTAGCATTTATGTTTCAAAAAGCGAAAGTAAATCAGAATCAGTTTCTAAAAGTGAGTCACTAAGTCAATCTATTTCTGAGAGTAAATCAGTAAGTACCTCAACAAGCAAAGCTGAAAGTAAATCAGAAACCTTAGCAACTAGTGAGTCTGAATCGCAAGTAGAAATGAAATCAGAAAGCCACTTTGACGGCATTGTTGTTCCGCCAGCAAGAGATTTATATGGTGATGTTCCTGGTCCAGTGTACTACACTAATGAAGACAGTAACGAAAAGAAACTTGCTCGTTTCCAACCACCATATCCTAATCCAAAAACAACGGAACCATACGTCTTTAAAAAGGGCGATGCATTGATTGATGTTTGCATTGATCACTTCGGTTTGGTCAACTATGATTGGTTATTAACATGCAATCGTATTGAATAAGCAGTGGTATCAACGCAGAGTACTGGTGCTTAAGGGAACTTATACACCAACTGAAGCAGATTGAGTGTAATTCATAGCTATGACAAACCAAGGACCAATCTATCACTACGAATACTACTAGAGATGAGTTAAGAAGTAACGTTAAAGCTAGAGTTACTTCAATGCCTAACTTAAGTACAATTACTGAAAACATAACTGAAGATGTTATTGATAAGCTTGTTGATGATGCAATCATGCAAGCTTTTTTTGATGGCTTCAAAGAACACAATATTGAAATGGGAGCTAGTTTATTAACTGCTCATTTCTGTAATGTAATCAACAATCAGAACTCAAATGTTGCTAAAGAAACAATTAGGAACATTAAGTCGAGAATACTTTGATAGAGCTGGAAGTGATTGATTTCTTAGTCGAATACAACCGATTAAAGCGGTCATTATCTAGTGCAACTATCCAATTTATGTAGGTATTCAAATGGACGTTAATGTTGATGTTAGTGTTTCAGGAATTGCTGGTTTAGACTCTATGATTAGTCGTTTAAAAGGACTTAGACGGCTCTAAAAGTAGAAGCCGGAGTATTTGGTGGTTTCGACCAAAGAAAGCAATGTGGCAAGAATATGGGGACGTCTAGGGGTATTCCTTCTAGACCTTTCCTAAGAAATACATTGTATGAAAATGAAGCTCGTTTACGCTAATTTTGTTGGTCCATTTATTGCTCAAGTGATGAATGGAGCTAGTCCTAGAGCAGTTACAAATGCATTAGGTCCATTTATGGTAATGAGCATTCAAAGAACAATCGCTGCTGGTGGATTTACTGCTTTAGCACCAAGCACAATAGCAAGAAAAGGGCATTCTAAGCCTTTAATTGAAACAGGGTCAATGTATGGCTCGATTGATTGGAGGAATGGATAGTGGCTTTTTACTTAAACATGAAAACTTTGTTAGATCGTTCGAAACAGAGTTATTTGTGATTGAAGAAAGTAGTGGTGGCGAATGGATTGACGGTCAGTGGGTTGAAAATACTGACACTAATCGCAAAGAACTCCCATGAGCCATTTATTCCTAACGATAAAGAGGGTTTTACTCAATTGTTGGGAAATTAAGAGATATTGGGGAAAAACGAAAAGTACAATGCTATTGGTATTCTCAATATGATTATCCACTTGGAACGATAGTGGGAACACAAAAATATTAGGTATCGGGTGGGCCGATAAGTATGATTACACGTCATACTCAAATGTTATCAGTATTTCTTGGAAAGCGAGGAGGGAAACGATGGAAACGACCTTTGATTATACAGTTTTGTATAAAGTGTTTAGTAAATTAATTAAGGATCAGTTGAATTTAACGCTGATTGAACTTAACGGAAACGGTAAAACTCCTGAAAGTCCCTTCGTGGCATTTGACATTATCAGGCCCAAGAATACCTAATAATTATCTTGAAGACGACAGAATTTTTGAAAGCGTAGTTTCTTTTACTGTTTACGCTAAAGTAAATTACAAGCTATGAATATCTGTAATCAATTACGGTTACTGTTGAAAAATAGTACCGCTAACAAGCTTTATCGAGATATAATATGTCATTGGTTGAAACCATGGCAGTTCAGACAAGATATGTTGAAGAAACCAACAATTATGCTTTCATGTATGGTTTTGATACTAGATTGAGATTAGTTGAAACATACATTGATAGCAATGTTGGGATTATTGAAAAAATAGATTTTAAGGAGAATGAAGAATGAGTAACAACTTATCTGACGTAACAGTTAAATTAAACGTCGAACAACCTCAGTTCCCGTTAACATGGGAAACTTAGCAGTGTTTGTTAAGGGTGATGGCCGGAAAAATGGAATCTTTCCGCACATACGATTGATATTTATGATGTATATCAAAACAAACCTGCATTATTACAAATTGCAGAAGGATACTTCTCACAAGGAACGCATGGCGAAAAATTAATTGTAATCACTTATGCGGATTTAAAAAATGAATTCGAAAACATACTATGGAGCCGGTTGGGAATTCGCTACTGTATTAGAAACAGACGCACTTACTCCAAGTCGTTTAGCTGGATACATTGACGGCAAAGGCGAACGTATGGCAATCTTTGCTTATCCAGCAACTGCAGAAACGGTTGACGATGCAGAAATGATTAAAGAATCAGTAGGTAGTTCACCACGAACAATTGGTTTTGTTGCCGGCGAAAACGATGATGAAGCTAAGTTTGCTTTAGGGGCATTAATCGGAGCTGTTGGTAATGAAACAGTAGGTTCAGTAACTTGGAAATTCAAGAAAATTGGCGGTGTAAAACCAGTTAAATTAAACGCTTCTCAAATTGGAAAATTACATGAAGCAAACTTATTCACTTACGTAACTAAAGCTGGACAAACCAAACTTCAGAAGGTAAAACAGTTGGTGGTGAATACATCGATGCCTTACATGGTGATGACTGGGTTAAAGCCTCAATCGAAACAGAATTGCAAAAAGCTTTTATCATCATCAAATAAAGTATCTTTGACGCCCGTTGGTATTGCTCAAATTGATGCCACAGTAACTCAAGTATTAGCTCAAGCTACTCGTAACGGTATTATCTTAGAAACGCTGAAACAGGTATGGAGGATTTCAATGTAACTACTGCTAGTCGTGAAGAATCATCAGCAGCAGACATTGCAAATCGTCACTACACTGGACTTCAAATTCAGTTACAAACGTTCTGGCGCAATTCATTCAGTAGTTGTTTCAGGACAAATCAGTTTATAAAATCGGAGGAAGTATAAATGGCAATCCAATTAAAATTTACAATGCTAAAGATGTTCACCTTATCAGTTGACGGTCGTGTAGTCCAAGGTTTCCAAGACGGAGATATGTTTAATGTAACCGTTAAAGAAGACCGTGTGCAAACTTCTGTTGACGCACAAGGAGTTCCATCAATTGCGGTTAACAACAACCGTTTAGGTCAAATTCAGTTAACTTATCTGGTAACTCAGCTGACCACAAGTACTTAAACAAGCTTGCTAACTCAAACAAAATCTTCTCAATCGTGGCAACAACCCACCATACGAAAAGATTTACTGGTGACCAAGCAATTATTGCTAAGCCAGCAGACGCAGCATTTGGTAAGCAAACACCAAAACGTACTTACACAATTGAAGTATTAGATTTACACATGGAAGTCTTATAATCATCAACCAACAATAATTTATTTCATTAGCGACTAAAGGTTCGACTCCTTTAGTCGTTTTTTAGTCTTAAATATTAGGAGGAAAATAAAAATGACTGAAACAAAGAAAACTACAACAAAGAAAGAAACTACAAAGAAAGTGGAACCAGCTAAGGTTGACCGCTTATCAAACAACGAAACATTCACATACACTGACAAGAATTGGTTACGAATATAAGTATGTTTTACAATTCCCTGGAATTACTCGTGCTTAATGAAATGCTTGATAACGCAACAATGGCAAACGGTCAAATCTCAAAAGCTGTTCTTGCTAATGAATACATTGAAAATGTAGTCGTTGAACCGGCAGGCTTAACTTTAGATGATTTTTGATGAAAGACCAGGAGTAGAAGAGCTTTATAACGCTATCGACTTATTTCTTGGAGGTAAAATTGCAAGACTAAGCCCCGAATGGGAAATTCAAAAACAAGTCGATGATGATGGTGGTACTGGTTTCCAATTGTTATGGGAATTAGTACTCGAGAAGAAATGGAACATGCTTCCTATGAAAAATTCAATTATTAAATGAAGTAGCCACAAGAAAACAAGAAATACTTAATCCAGTTGGGAGGGAGATTGTAGATGGCTAACGAAACGACTATTAAGCAAAAATTGAAGTCTCGGGTTTATCCGAACTTGAGAAAGCTAAATCATTACTTGAAAGTTTAAGTCATCTTAAATCGTCTGGAAAAATGCTGGATTAAGCAAGATGACTGCGGAACTTAATAAGGTAGCTGAAACAGCTAAAAAAAGCAGAGTCAGCACTAAAGGGTTTATCTGATTTTAAAATTAACAGCAGCAATTTTAAGCTTGATGATCAGATAAAAAAAGCTACTGAACAAATTGATAAACTTGAAGCTAAATTAAAGGGTATTTCTGATGTTAATGTTGGTAATACAACCAATAAACTGTCAGAAGGAATTAATAAGGCTCAAGAGTCAGCTAATAAGCTAAAAACAGAGTTAGAAAGCGTATCGAATGTTAAAGCCGGCAATGTTGGTACTAGCATTTCAGAAGGGCTAAATAAAGCTAATTCTGCAGTAACAAAGGTTAATGAGAACTTAAACAAGGCTCGAAGTCTCGAACGAGAAGTAGCTTCAAGCGCTCAAAAAGTAACGCAAGCAGAAAGACAAACGGCTGATGCAATTCAACAAGCTAATACAGGGAGAAGAACGGCATATCAACAATCGCTAAGAGATATGCCAAGCACAACAAAAGAATTCACATCCAACAAGTGTTGGGTCAGCACCAACTAAAAGTGATGGTGTATTTAAATCTTCGCTTAAAGAAGCTTTGGAATGTATACGCTTGGCCAACTTGGAGCTAATGCAGTTATGGCTGGGCTGAAGGTTTTCTCTAATATCATTAAATCTGGTTTTAATCAAATTAGTACTCTGCAACAATCGCAAGTGGGTTGGGCTTCTAACTTTAGATCAGTAAATTCTTTATTAGGTAACTCAACTACTAATAGACAAGCAAATGCATTTAGTAAGCGTGCTACAAATGATATCCAAGGAATTGCGATTTCTGCTGGTAACGATTATAAGCAAGTTTCTGATGCTGCAATGGCCTTTTATTCAACAGGAGCTGGAGTATCAACTGCTGGTAACTGGAAAAAGACTAAGCAATTAACAAGAGATATGCTTAACTTACAAGATGCCGGCGGTATGAATGAGGAAGAAATGAGTAGATTTACTGCTTCTGTCGCTAAATCTCTTGACCAAGATAAAGTTGATGGAGATAGATTAAATCAGTTAAAGAGTTTTAATCCAAATATTGATAGTTATCTTGAAAAAGCCTTCAAGAAACGTACTGGTAAAGATTGGCAAAAAGGTGATAAGTTTACTGGTAATGACCTTGTAAATGCTCTTCATCAAGCGGGAACGGCTCCTGGTGTGTCTGACGCTTCTAAGAAAATGAACCAAAGTTTAGCTGGTATGACTCGTGCAGTTAGAAATGGACTTAACGTTATTTCCGGAAGACATTAACTGGTATTGGAGACCAATTAAACAAAGCGTTTGGTGGCGATGGGAAACTATTCTCTAAAATTTCCGGTTTTTTTACAAACAAAGATAATTTGAGCAATGCAGCCGACAAACTATCTCATGCAGTTGCTGGAGTTACCACTGTTGTTGGCTCAATTGGTAAAGAAGCTTGGAATGTCGGTAAAGATATTTATACCGCAAGCAAGCCTTATATCGAAAGCTTTAGCAAGGGTTTTACAACTACATTTAAAGGACTTGGACACAGGACTTAATGAAACTTACAACACTTTAAAGGGTTGGGTAAAAACTTAGCCGACATGATTCCAAAAGGAGCTGGAGATACATTCAAGCAAATTGGAACTGCATTATCAGAATCTGCCGGAAAAGCAACTGCCTTTTTAGTAGCAATTAGAGGGTTGTCTAAATTGCCAGTAGTTGGCGAATCAATTGCCAAAGCGATTAAGCCTTTATCGGAATTAGCCGGTAAGTTACCAGTTATTGGTAAACCATTACAAGGCTTAATTGAGAAGCTCACTGGAATTAAGAGTAACCCTGAAAATGTTGCTGCAACTAAAATGCAAAGCGCTGCTAATACAATGATGTCCTGCCGCTAATCGAATGAATGGTGGTCCAATTTCGGGTAAAGGTGGCGGATTATCTGGAGCAGGTACAAGTTTTGTGGGAGATACCAATATTAACAGTCGTACTGGCGGAACATTTGGTGGATATAAATTTGACCCTGTAACAGGAGAATTTATTCCACAAATTACAACTGCTCCAACAACAGCAACTGCAGCTAAATTACCATGGTATGAAAGAATGACTGTCAAAGGTAAAGAATTACTTGGAGCAGAAGGTTCTCGAGTTGCCGCTCAACGTGGTTTTTTGCAAACTTTACGTGGTAAAAACGTATGCAGGAATTGGAGCTATTGGAACTAAGGTCTTTGGTACAAGCAAAGTCGGAAAATGCTATTTATCGTGGTGTTTCTGTAGCTGGAACAGGTATCAAAGCTGTTGGTAGAAGCGTTGGTAAATATGGCGCTCCAGGAATGAATGCATTATTTGGTGCAATGGATGTTATGACTGCTTTAGGAACAAACCAAATCTGGCAGTTTAGAACGTCATAAAAAAATTGGTAGTGCCGTTGGTGGAGCAATTGGATCAACAGCAGGTATGGCTTTAGGTGGTGTTGCTACTGCTGGAAACCCCACTTGGTATTGCTGTAGGTGGAATGATTGGTAGTTGGGCCGGAGATAAGCTTGGTAATTGGGTCGGTGGAAAGTTTGGTGGAAGTAAACCTTCTACTCAAAAAGGACCTACTTGGTCACAACGCCAACAAACTAAAGCTGAAACTCAATATGCTAAAGATAACTTCTTAAGTAGTTATGGCTCAATGCAAAAAGCAAATCCTAACGCTGGATTAGGGTCAGGAAAAGATGCTTATCGAACATTAAGCGCCGCTCAAAAGGGTAATGCTAAAGCAAGAACTGCAGCAATGCACTATGCTGATGCAATGGCGAATGGCGATACTGCTGGTATGTTGAAGTACCAACAACAAATGCAAAAGCAAGTAGAGTCTCAAAGCGCTAAGAACGTGCAATCAACGGCTAAGAACGCTAAGACTGCTCAATCTAAAGCGATAAAGCGTATGATAAAGCATATAAAAAATCTTATGATAAGAATTATCGTAATAATTTAAATAAATAGAATGTCGCCTAAAGAGGCTAAAAACCTTGCTAAAGAACAAGCTAAAAACGAAGCTAAAAAGACAAGTCATATCAAAAAGCGCAAAAAGCTGCAGATAAAGCTAAGTCTAAAGCTTCGAAAGCCAAAAAAGATTACAAGACAAACACTGGTAAGTCTTATAAAGGTAGCGGTAAAAAAGCTTCAAGTGCTAAGAAGTCTAAGGAAGCTGCTAAAAAACAAAAAGAAGCTGCAAAGAAATTAAGTCAAGCTGCTAAGAAATCTACAAAAGGCTCAAAAGGAGCAAGTAAGAAGAGTTCAAGCGGTTCGAATAAAAAGCATAAAGTAACATCTTCTGGAGCCAAAAAAGGCTAAAAAAAGATGTAGATAAGCTAGGAAAATCAACCAAGAAGCTTAAGAACAAGAATGTTAAAGCAAAGGTAAAAACTTCTGGTGGAAACAAGGCTAAAAAGCTTTCTAAGGATATGAAGAAAATCAAGAATAAGAAAGCTAAAGTCAAAGTTAAAACTAGTGGATCTAATAAGGTTAAGAAACTTTCTAAAGACATGAAGAAAGTTAAGAATAAAAAGGCGAAAGTCAAAGCTAAAGTATCAGGCGATGGCAAAGTCAAAAAACTTTCTAAGAACATCAAGAAGGTGAAAAACAAGAACGCTAAGGTTAAGGCTAAAGTTTCTGGAGAAGGTAAAGTTAAAAAGCTTTCTAGCAATATCAAAAAAGTTAAGAATAAGAATGCTACTGTTAAAGCTTCAACTAGTGGCGAAGGTAAAGCAAAGTCATTAGCTAGTGCAATTAAGAAAGTCAAAAGCAAGAATGCAAGTGTAAAAGCCAGCGTTAGCGGACAATCTAAAGCTAAATCATTAAGTAGCGCAATTAATCAAGTTCAAAACAAAAACGTCAGTGTTACAGCTACTGTTACAGGAACAGGTAAGGTTAAAGCATTAAAAGCAGCGATTGATACCGTTAAGGATAAACCAGTTAGCGTAACTGCTTCGGTTAGTGGAACTGGGGCTGTTAGATCTTTAGCAGCAGCGATTAATGCTGTTCATTCTAAGACGGTTACAATTACTGCAAATGTTGTTAAGAATGGAGCGTTAGCAACGGGTACTCCAGGGGCTTCAAAAGCATTTGGTGCGTTAGCGACAGGAACTCCTGCAGCAACAACTACTGAATGGTCATCAAACGGTGGAACTAAAAAAGGTGTATACCTTGTTAATGATGCCCCTGGTCCTGATTTTGTTGAAGCGTTCAAAACAAAAGGTGGCTTGATTGGGCTATTCCCTAAGCAACGGAATTTACTTGTTCCATTGCCAGAAGGTACTCAAGTACTTAATGCCAAGGAAACTAAAAAGAAATTCCCAAGACTTGAAAAAGGTACGCAGAAATTTGATATGCCTAAATTCCCTAAGTTAAAACTGGGCACTCCAGGAGCAACTAGAGATTTTGGTCATAGTGGGGATGTACAAAATAACGTTCAAAACCACACTTCAAATAACAATACTTTTAATATCAATGTTAATGTTAACGGTGGGAATGCTGGAACAAACTTAGCAAACAATATTGCTAATGCAATTGGAGAAAAGCTAAGACAACAATTCCCAGTAGCTGAAATTTAGGAGGTGGACTATGGGAGTACTAACAGACGGAAAAAAGAAAATTACTATTTTTGCTGAATCAGAAGAAGAGTCAATTGAAAATACAGTGGCTCAATATCCTGTTCAAGCTGGAAATTTAGTGACTGACCACACACAACGCTCATCATTTGATTGGACGTTCGAAGGGAAGTTGTTCGGTAAGGATCATAATGAAATCAATAACCAATGGAGCCAATTGATGTCATGGCAGTATTCCGGAACATTATTACAATGGGAGTACTCTGCGTTGATACCACTGCTT